CTCCCCTCTGACAGCTGTCAGTCTGTTCCATGTGTCCATGCCTCTGTTTCTATTTTGTTCATCAGTTTATTTTGTTCATTAGGTTCTACATATAGGTGAGATCATATGGTATTTTTCTTTCTCCAACTGGTTCATTTCACTTAGCGTAATAATGTCCAGGTCCATCCATTCTGTTGCAAAGGTAAGATTTCCTTCTTCTTTTTTGTGGTTACATAGTATTCCATTATGTAAATTTACCACGGCTTTTTTAATCCACTCATCTACTGATGAACACTTGGGCTCCTTTCATGTCTTGGCTATAGTTATTAATGCTGCAGTGAACATAGGGAGCGTATATTCTTTCAAACTGGCACTTCAGGATTCTTAGGGTATATTCCCAGAAGTGAGAATGCTGGGTCAAAAGGCAGTACCATTTTTAATTTTTTGAGGAAACTCCATAATGTTTCCACAGTGGCTGCACCAGTCTGCATTCCCACCAACAGTGCTCTAGGGTGGCTGGGGAAAATTCTTTGTGGCCCTGCTTGTCTCTCAGGCTCTGTCCTTAGTATTATCAGCTGTAATCAGGGTACCATGACCATGCAGTAGAAGGAAGCCTGGTTATTGGAAATCTGCTGTAATGGGTCAGGGAGGCAATTAAGGAGTCAGTGTGTGCTGGGATAATGCCTCAGTTATAGCCTGTGTCTCTCTAAGCAGAACTTGAAACAGTCTTAAGCATATAAAGCTTGGCTAAATACATGTCTCTGGAAAACAAAAGTATAAGACCAGTAAGGATAGAGACAGAGACAAAATAAGGAGGCATTAAATTTACAAGTCTTACGCTTCTGTTAATATTGGGTAATAAAAAGGCAAATACTACATAATAAGAAATGAGCTGGGAGTTTCCAGGGAGCTTGAGAACAAGCGCAGTGTAGTGGAGGGCAGAGCTAAGAGAGCAGCACAAACCACCCCGGTGACTTCACTTGCATACCTGGATCGCGATGCGCTGTATGTCAACCTTTGGACCATCCTCCCTCCTTCAGTTTCGGTTTTGTGAACTGATTCATTTCCTCCTTGCTGAAACCAGTGTGAATCATGTTTTCTGTCACTTGCATTCAAAGACTTCTGACTGCTATACTTCCGCGATGACAAAGATCACATTGTCCTAGCTGTTTGTTGGTGTCTTTTCCAGTAGGTTGTCTCCACCTTGAGGTCAGGGCCCAGGCACCTTACCCAGCTTCTCTCCCCAGCACTTAACAGAGCTCCTGGCATTTGGTAGAAGTTCAGGACATGTTAGGTTGAAGAAATAAATCTGTAATATTAATTTGGCATCTAATATTGATCCTTTCTAGTCTGATCAGTGCTTTCTTAAAGAATACAAGTGGGTTAACTTTTTTCGTACAGAGAAGTAAAGCAGATAAAATTTACAAGAAAATTTGATAAAATGCACTCACTTAGCATAAAAAGATGGTTAGATAAAGGAGTTATTATCTAAAGGTATCCTATGAAAAGAACACCCTCATAGAGCCATTTTTCTTTTTGACTATAATTGAGCTATAATGGTAATAAAGGTATATTTAAAATTGGCTGACTTAAACTGTAATTAATATACAGTAGTCCTCACTTATCTGCGGGGGATATGTCCCAAGGCCCACAGTGAATGCCTGAAACTACAAATAGTACCAAACCCTATATATACTACTTTTTCTATTCATACATGCCTATGATAAAGTTTAATTTGTAAATTAGGCTCAGTATGAGTTTAACAACAACTAACAAAATAGAACAATTATAGCAATACACTGTAACAAAAGTTATATACATGGCTCTGGGCCCATTGTTTGGTTATATAAGCATTACTTGAACACAGCGCTGCGATACCTCAACTCTTGATCTGATAACCATGTTGGCTACCACGTGACTAACAGGTGGGGAGTGTCTACAGTGTCGAGGTGGTTGACAAAGGAATGGTTACAGTGGGTGGGACAGAGCAGAACAAGGCAAGTTTTCATCGACTACTCAGAACAGTGTGCTTATGAAATCTTTATTTCTGGAATTTTTCATTTAATATTTTGGGATTGTGGTTACCGTAGGTAACTGAAATCATGACAAGTGACACTGTAAATGAGGGGGGTCTATAGTTGTGCATCACATAAAGACGTTTTAGTCAAGAAGGACCCCATATATAACAGTAGTCTCATAAGACTATAAAGGATTATAAGCAAAAAGTTTGCATTGTTGAAAGAAAAGTCTGGAACTGACTACGATGTTGAATTTACTGCTAGGTGTGGTGGCTGAAATAGAGAAGACTCAGTGTGCTATCTACCCACCTTGGACCCACCTGTACCTACAGCTGGGGTCTGAGTTGGTCACAGATGGGGCTTAGAAGGAGAGCAGCCTGGGAGCCCACCCCGAACCCTCCCAGCCACTACCCCCTCCTGATCTCTCCTCTCTCTCCCTTTTGTTACTTCTCATTTCAGGCTTTATCTCTCTGGGTCTCTCTCAAACACTGCTCTCCATTCCATCCCCCCTTCTCTTCCTTTTCTCTCTCCTTTCTTTGCTCCCTCCTCCTGATGTCTCCTCTGTCCCAGGTGCCTTCTTCCACAGCCTTCCCCCTGAGTACACAACACACACATGCAGACACACTTGATCTTCTATATCATATTTTCAGTGCATGTTTTTATGTTGAAAATGTATGAGCACATAAATACATTGTGTTACCATTGTCTACAACATTCACTACAGTCACTTGCTGTACAGGCTTATAGCCTAGTAGCAATGGCTGTACCTTACAGCCCAGGGGTGGAGTAGGCCATAGTATTTAGATTTGTGCAAGTGCTGAATGATGCATTTCTCAGAACATATTCTCATTGTTAAGTAACACATGGCTATACTATAAGGAAAATTATTTTTCTCCTTTTTTGTTTGTATAGGCAAAATATGAGAAACAAAAATGTAGCAAAGAGAAAAATGCCATGATAATATTTTATTTTGCTTAGTCTTAAGAGAGAGTTGCCATGACAACTATGATTCTATTAATTAGAAACTTGCAAAAGGAAAGCTTATTGCTCATTAGAATGTTGCTAATAGAGTTGATCTTAAGAGTTCTCATCACAAGCCCTGGCCAGTGTGACTCAGTTAGTTGGAGTATTATCCTGTAACAGAAGGGTTGCAGGTTTGATTCCCGGTCAGAGCACATGCCTAGCCCCTGGTCCAGATGCATATGATCTCTGGTGTGGGCATATACAGGAGACAACCAATCGATGTTGCTCTCTCTCATTGAGGTTTCTCTCTCTCCCTTCCTCTCTAAAAAACAATGAAAAAAAATCCTCCAAAAAGATGGCCAATAGACATATGAAAAGATGCTTAATGTCTCTAACCACCAGAGAAATGCAAATTAAAACCACAATGAGATACCATCTCACACCTGTTCAGAATGGCTATCATCAATAAATCAACAAACAACAAGTGCTGGTGAGGATGTGGAGAAAGGGGAAACCTTTTGCACTGTTGGTGGAGACTGGTGCAGCCACTGTGGAAAGCAGTATGGAGATACCTCAAACAATTAAAAATGGATCTGCCTTTTGACCCAGCAATCCTACTTCTGGGAATATATTCAAAGAAATGCAAAACATTAATTCAAAAGGACATAAGCACCCCTATGTTCATTGCAGCGTTATTTATAATCACCAAAATATGGAAGGAGCCCAAGCATCCATTAATAGATGAGTGGATAAAACAACCAGGGGACATTTACACAATGGAATACTATTTAGCCGTACAGAAAGAAGAAAATTTTACCCTTTAACAGTATGGTTGGGTGTGGAGAACATTATGTTACATGAAATAAGCCAGTCAGAGAAAGACAAATACCATATGATTTCACTCATATCTGGAATCTAATGAACAAACTGATCTAACAAGCAAAACAGAGACAGACTCACAGATGGAGAACAGATGACAGGCAGTGGCAGGGGTAGGCGGTTAGAGGGTGGAGGTGTTGAGCAAAAAGGCAAAAGAACTCATGGACATTGACAACAGTATGGTGATCACTGGGGAGAGGGGGGTGGAAGGGGACTAAATAGTTAAATGGTAATGGAAGAAAATGCAATAAAGATTAAATGAAAATTAAATAAAAAATAAATTAAAAAAAAGAAAAAATGTCCTTGGGTGAGGATTAAAAAAACAATTCTCATCCCAAGAAGCAAAATTTTAACTATGTATAGTAATGGATATTAACTAGACTTGTGGTGATTATTTCACAATATTTATAAATATCAAATAATTGTGTCACACACTTAAAATTAATATAACATTAAATGTCAATTATACCTCAATTTAAAAAAAAGAAAAGCTTATTCCATAACCTACTTCGTCCTCATATATTAAGGCTGTGCTACCTCTTTCCTGTTAATTAAAAAGTTTTCTGATAGAGACTCCATAAACTGGGAAATTCAGGAAGTCCACAATTTCATCCAACTATTTATCATTCTCTCTGCATTTCTGACACATGGCTTGTTGAATAAGCATTTAGAGCAATCTTTAGATGAAAATGTAAAACTTTATATGATCTTCTAAATTGAATTGTGAAGCCATTATCTGGGTTGCTCATTGTACGGCTTTCCTCCCAGCAAGAAACTCATGGAAGTAGTGAGTGTTATTCCAGTGTATTTCTCTGGAACAACATTTGCAAAAACTGAATGCAGGTAAACAAAAAGGAAAATATATCTTAATAATAATGTTTTGGAGAACACAATAAGTTTGAAGCAAACTCTATTTTTCTTCAGAACCCCAAATCCCAATATTTTCATTAAACTTGCACATTAGCAGCTAATATACTTCAATCTCCAAATGAACCTCCTCCCTTAGACTAAAGGAAAGAAGTAAAAAAATTTTTTTTAGTCAAAATTCCAACTGAATCAAGAAGGGGGGCATAATCATGCTCCTTGCTTTTTAGCAAGATTCATAAATCAGGAGAGAAGTCAGTCTGAGAGAAAGAGCCCTTTATGATTCCTTCTTTCCAGATAAGGGACCAACACGTCAGCACCGGCTTCCTCTTCGCCTGACAATGCCCAGCGTTCCCCGGTGTGTGGGCGGCGCTGCTCCTGTTCGCGCAGTCTGTGCTGAAGGCAGAGCAGACCATCTGCAGGTGCACTCTAGACATCTACAAGGTCGGAATGAGTGGATCACGACTCTGCTTCTCCGTACACTTCTCTTGACCTTAACGTTCACTCATATTTTCCCTTCCCTGAGCCTTCTGAACATAGTTTCATCTTGATTAATTTTCCTTAATGCCATTCATGTTAATTGGAGAAATTATTAAAATCTGAAATGAAACCTAGTACTATGTTTCTTCAGTGTGAATTTCAAGTTAGAATATTTTAAATTCATGAATCTCTCTGGTAAAAATAAAATATTTTATGTCCCAGACCATTTATTCAATGTGTAATAATTTTCATGATTTCATATTATTATTCTTGAAATTGTTAAAGCTTTAAAAAATATTGGTTTAAATTTAAATAGCAAAACATTATATTTTGAACTTAAAATACAGAATACATGTATTTGAACTACTTTTTAGATTTTTAAAAAAACTTAAAAATTATTTGTGATAAAATTTCCTGTCTGATCTGAATGCAGAAAGGCAACTTTAAAATCTGAAATGTCTTTTCATTCATTAAGAAACCTCCCTCCCTCCCTCCCTCCCTCCATCCCTCCATTCTTCGCTCTTTTCCCTCTACTTCTCCCTCCCCACCCCTCTGTCTGTCTTTTTCTTTTACTTTTTTTTTTTTAAGATGATCTCAGCCTGGAATAAACGTTCTTGCGAAATCGGCCAGGATTTTTGCCAAGCATAGTGTGCATATGTCAGCTGTTTTCTGAAAAATAATCGCACCACGTGACAATGTCTATTATTTTAATTAACACTGAGGAGCGCCTCCAAGGTATTTCATTAGGCCGGTCTTTCTACACAGGCAATGGCTCTGTATTTCCTGAACTGCTGATTAAACAGACACATGACATTTGACATTTTGTATAGGTGAGCAGAATAATTGTTTTAATAAATAAGCCAGAATTCACAGAAGTGATAAACCATTCCCCAAGTGTACCCTGGGACCTGAGGAAAGCAGGACAATCTTTAGAGTGCTTTGTTCAAATCACCCACAGGAGACATTACCACAGTCTCCTGCTGTGGGAAGGCCCTGGCGTTTCTGAGGAGCTCCGAGTGATTTGTCATAAAGCCTACAAGGTTAAGTCACTCTCTGGTGCCTCTTTTATTTCCCGGATACTTGTATGTGTCTGTCTGTTTGGTAAATTCAAGAAGTATTAACTCCCAGATCTGAAAAAGAGACGTTTGTGAAATTCTTTTAAGAATAAACGTCCAGAAATTCACAAACCTGAAAACAAAGTGTTTTTAATAATGCTGGGGCGGGGAAGAGAAACGTGGTTTCCTCTTTTCACAGCTGTTCCCCAATTGCACGGATGAACTACAGATTAGAAAAGGAAGTGTTTGTCTGAAAAGGAAAGCAGTTTATAGCTATGTTGTGTCACACACTATCAAAGTGATTTTGTAGTGTAACTCACAAACACACTTGTAGACTGTTTCTGTAAGTCTTCCGGGGAGTAAAGGTGGTTAGTCAGTCTCCTGGAGGCTTTGTGGAGGCTGGAAGGCCACACCCCTGCGGATGGAAGTGATCTCGGTCTGCTTGGGGTAATCCCCACGTTAGACACTCCAGGAAGAGCAGCCTTTCAGACTGGAACCAGGCTGTCACTGGTTGGAGGAAAGGATTTCTCTCTGACTCAGGGTCCTAATCGCTTAGTCTCAATTCATTAGAAGACACTGGCCTCTGGTTCTTGGATGGTGCCCATGGCTTCGACACTGGAACCTGACCCGCCCAGGCTTCGGAGCATACATATTATAGTTTGAAAGCCATATCATGTATGTGAAGGATGACTTTGCTCTGCCTACACTTTGTATTTAGAAATGCCCTGTTCCACTACTTTCTGTCTGGTTTATTCCTCCATTCCTTAGTGTGGACAGGAAGTTCAGGACACTTTGCATTGCATTAGATATCTGGGTCTTCATCTTAACCTGGGGGAAGATTGCAGTTTAAGTCTGTGATGTTGTCACTATCCCTTTTCCTTTCCCATGGTAGTCCTGCAGTACAGTCCAAAGGGGAGACTTGTGCTACACTCAGGGACAGGGACCTCTGTGGAAGCTTCCAAGACTGTGCTCCTCCCTCTTGCTCTTGGCAAACTCACCTACCTGGGTTTAGCCATACGGCCCTCTGCCCAATGTGGCAGCCCCTTTTAGAGAGCAATTTAGCCTAATCCCCTGATACACCTTCTAAAAAAAGGCTTGATTTGGGGGGGGTGCAGTTATTAGTGAGGATTACTCCTACTTCTTTTTAGTTTCAAAACCCAAAAAGGTCAATTCCTTGCCACCATCCATTCCATAATACTATCTCCAAGAAAAGTCATTAGGATTCCATCAGAATTTGAGATTACCAAGGTCTAATATTTCCTCATAGGGGATTAGAATAAGGGTGGAAAAGGGATTTGTTCAATTTTTTCACATATTCACCTTGATAGAGCTAGAGGAAGTTCTCCATTTCATCAAGTTTCTATAGTTTATTCCTTTTTATTTAGTCAAGTCTTGTTAAGTATACTAGCCCTATTCAAGTTTTAGTTGTTGGTATTAAAGAAAATGTCTGTGTCCAAATATGGGTCAGAATATTAAAGGTGAAAGGACATTTGCTTTCTTCTCACCTTCACCTAACCTAGTAGTGGCAGGTGTCAGAAGTAAGACCCAAAGGAGAAATGAATCTGTCAGCTAAAGAAAAGAGCTTCACTCCCTTGCTGTCCTTTTTGTGTGGCAATCTTTCGGCAGTTTGGGAAGACCTGAAAGTTATTTAACCTAAGGAGACAAATTTCTACACAAAAACGATGGTTTTGTTGGATTCCAGTACATTATATAGCATTTACTGTTTGTACCAAGGGACTCCTCCTAAATCATGTATCTTGAATTCCTTTTTCAAGGTGGCATAGTATTTCTTCCTGCATTCTTTTTTCTTTTCAAGACAGTATCAATCTGTCTGAATTAATCTAAGCTAACTAGCTGCATATGCTTTTCATTGACTTTTCTGCCTCTAGGTCTTGATTTAGCAAAGTTTTGTTAATTAGTAACTGTATGAAGAGTCAACACAGCAGGGCGGGGAGGGGGGGTTGTGTGGTAATCCTGGGACTTTGACAGAAGCAGAGAGAAAAGTGGTGAGACTCTGTCGCATAGGCTGGGTATACTAATAAAGGAAACAAGTGGTTACTTTAATATTTTGCTTCTATTTGAGGACTGAATGATAATTAAAGAACAAACAACATACAGACAACAGTATGGTGATTGTCAGGGAAAGGGGAGTGGGGAGAGGTGGAAGAGGGCAAAGGGCGGGATGAACGGGGATGGAAGGAGACTTGGCTTGGAGTGGTGAGCGCACAGTGCAGTGTGCAGGTGATGTTTTATAGAGTGGTACCCTTGAAACCTGCATTAGCCAATGTCATCCTAATACATTTTTTTAAAATTATAAGAAATTGGTCATTTTAAAAAATGTGACCAATCTATGCTGCAAAGAATATTGTAAAAAAACACCAGTAGTATATATTCTTTACTTTCGAAGTAGATTATAGCTATGCCATTTTTTTTTTTTTAGAGAGGATGAATAATTAACCTTGAAGGCCAGTAAACAGTTTCCAACTCTTCATCACAGTTCTCAAGGCCCCTTTAAAAGGAAATCTACTGCCACCTAGCGTGTAAGTCTTAGAATAACTGAATAACTGTTTAGAAATACTTGTAGAACCCATAGTACCGCTGGGTGGCACTATGGATAAGCACATTAAAGGCACAACTTTTAATATACGTAGTACTTGTCCTATCTCTGTTTATTACAGTTTGTTAAATGTGACAAATACATTATTTTCCCTTTCAGTGTTGTATTTTTTTAAGGAATATGATATATTTTTGACACTGCCGTTTAAAGCCTCATAAGTCAGGAGAAACCTAAACAGTTTCAGATTTAATTTCTGATTTTTGAAGTTTTAATTCTTTAAATGGTTCAAGTTAGATTTTCCTTTTATCCCTTCCCCCTTCATCCACATAACTGTAATCCTAAGTGAAAAGAGGCAACGTATTTCCCACATAATCCAAAATAAGAAAGAAAAGCAACTCAGATGAAAGAACTGCAGCAGGCAAGGCTCTGTATTTAGGAGGGGTGGCGGTGCTGGGATGAATTCTGTTTTAGACATGAAATCCAGTGGGAAAAATGCACTTTTAACAAGAGCATCTACCTCAGGTAAAGATTCATTATAAAGTGACACACAGTTTGGGCCTAGAGAATGCTACTATGAAATTTTTGTAATTCACTGTGAACAGGCTTGAGGTCTAATTTTGTTTCTCATACCATTAAAATTGGTAATAGTAGCAATGGGGAATGAAATTCATTCCATTTCCTCTAACAGGCAAATTCTTGACGAAGTTGTTCTAATAAGCCCACTTTCCTTATGGTTATGCAAGGAAGAGAAGCATAAAAGGAATCAGTGTTTGAAAATACAAGAGCTGGTTAAATAAACATTGTACCTTAGGCACATCAAAACACCAAATAAAATTTTGGTACTTAGTATCCCATAATGTTTATCCATTTATCTATCTGTCTGTCTGCATATTCACTGTGTAGATATTACATACATAGCCTTAATGTCTTATTATAGCTTTTGCAATTTTGTAAAACTAGTATATTATTGGTAAACATGTAATTATAATGATTCTGTCTACATGCTGTTTCTTGTGAAACAGAAAGACTAATTACCAAAGTACTTCTTTGATATGTTCTGGTAATGATTATCAATATTTAAAGATTTATGAGTGAGTTCTTATAGCTATCACTAAGCAATAGGCTTTTACTTGTTTGATTTGATTTTGTTATCATCCCCTTTGGCTTCTATTCTAAATTGCCATCATTCTAACATTTAACTCCCAATGTTCTCAATGGAGAGCCTTGTCTCGTACTTACTGAGAATGCTGTGGTGATCTGTCAGTTGTCAGCCTTACCCCACACTTACTATATGTTGATATATGAGCATTTCCCCACCTCCATGTCTCATACTCAGGGGTGATGTAACTCCTCTTCCTGCTCCAAACTGCATTCTCTCCTGGAGCTCCAGGTTCCATTCCTCCCTCCCCATCTTCACTGCTGAATGAGGCTTCATCAGTCATTCTTACCTGATCTGGATTTTTCAACCTAATCTCTTTATTGGCTCTGATTCTAAGTTTATAACCCAAAGTCTTCCCCATCCTTAAAAAAGAAGAAAATAAAATACTCCTTCAAAACAATAAAAATTAAGTTCTTGTGTCCAAAAAGCAAAATGGACACAAGAAACA